ATCAGACTTCTCCTAGACTCAGAGACACACTCTGCCCTTTAAGAAGAAGCTATTTTTTATTTGCTAAAATAAAGAAAATACAGATGTTGGACTTACAGGATCCATCAACGTCTATTAGTCAGTTTCCATGTCTAGGAAAGTTGCAAAGATAATTCCCCTGTGTAAACATTCCTTCAGTTTCAAACACGGTGATTTTGCTTCTGTTCTACCTTTAAAGGTGTTTGGTGACTTTATTTCTGTGCCACATTTCTGAGCTGGACTCTGCTGTGCTCATAGAAATCTTGGGAGGGGACGGTGAAAATGTGAAAACCACTTTTCAAATGAATATGTGTGGAGGTGGTGGAATTAGATTAAAATCTCTCCAAATTTCGATCACATCAAGAATTGTTATCTAAAAATGCCTGCTTTGTCAGAAAGGTATTTTTCATATTAAAAACCCCCCAACTATTGTGTGGGAAACGGTTTCCTGTCCTGGGTGTGTTTTCAGGAGCTGGAATTTCCCCGCCTCGTCCCAAATCTCAAATCCGGTTTAACAGTCAAAGTCTCAAAAATACTCACAAACGGTCACACGGAGATGGGTTTTGTTCTGACTCCTTCGAAACGGTTCATTCTGCTAATTTCAAAATGTGGTATTTCCATCCCTGTGCCAGGGCTCCATCCGGATGCAAACATCCAACGCAGCACCTGGCATCCTAAGATACAAGTACGCAGCGGTGAGGGCAAACCTGGGTATATGGAGTCGCCGCCCTGTGATTGCCAAGGCCAACTGAACACACATGGGAGCACGTGGCCGGCTGTGTTTGGCTGACCAGTTGTCTGTGCAAACACTGATTTTGTGCGTGCAGCTGTGCAGGCAAATAAGGAATATCAGCCTCTTGGTATTTTTTGTTATCAACATAATGAAAATAATAGACTCAAAATAGCGCATCACCTCTGCGTGTTTTGATTTGCATAAAGGGCAAACTCAGTCGGTACCACCAAGACCTCAAAACCTGGTCTGTGCAGGGTAGAATCCAATGCAACCTCTCCCACAATGGTTCAGTGTTTAGAGGGCATTCGGCTAAGACTTAGGAGACCTGGGTGCAAAATTCTACTCTGCTACTGAGTTCCTGGTAGGCCTTGGGTAGGTCACTTTGTCTCTCAGGATGCATCTGACAAAGGGGTTTTTAGCCACACAAGCCTATGCCCAGATAAATCTGTTTGGTTTTAAGAGTATGTCTACACTACAAGGCTATGTCTACACTGCCCCTTCTTGCACAAGAAAAACCCTCTTGCGCAATGCCGCTATGCTGATTATTTTCAGGAATAACGGCATTGCACAAGAGGGTTTTTCTTGCGCAAGAAGGGGCCGTGTAAATGCTCCTTCTGGTGCAAGAGCCTCTTCTGCAACAATGGTGGCTCCTTAGGTATGCAAATGAGGCGTGGCGATATTCCACGCTTTGCCTCGTTTGCATATTTCTGCCGCAAGAAGCCGCCAGTATAGACATAGCCCAAGGGTATTTTGAAATAAGTTATTTTGGAAGGATAACTCCCAAAATAACTGTTTTGAAACCGAGTGTCCACACTACAGGGAAGCCTCATGTGGGTGCTTTACCTCAATTGAGAGCCCCAGGAAACACTGAGGAGAAATTACTCTGAATGGCCCAGAAGAGGCGCTATTTCGAAATAACAGCAGTGGAACGTCCACACTATTGCTATTCCGAAATAGCCGTTTGGAAATAGGCGTTATTCCTTGTGAAATGAGGGTTTATTGTACCGGAATAAGAAGCCTGTTGTTCTGACATTATTTCAAGATAACTGGCTTGCTGTGCGGCCGCTCACCATGCTATTTCGAAGTAACGTGAGTTGTTCAACCCAGCCGTAGCTCAGGTGGGTGTCCTGGGGAGAACACTCTAAAACAGTTCCTAGAGCAGAGCTTTTAGAAAAGCAGCCAATCTGGCAAAATAAATAAGGTTTGTGCAGCGCTCAGAGTTGATGATGGTGGGAACCAGATAAGCGCCAGGAAGAGATCCTATTGGCATGACGACAGAGAGTCGGGGTGGGGGAGGTGATAGCGTTTGGGAGACTCACATCCCTTGGGGCGAGAGACACGCTTTCAAGCGTGCACAGAGCTCTGCTCCATGGGGCGGGAGGTTTTCAACCGAGTGGGTTTTCTCGGTTGGAAGATGGGGGTTTGGCCAAAACAAACGTTGTGGAACAGGGCGATGCTGAAAGCAGATCCTCACTCAGTCCATGGCTGGAAGAAGAAAGTTTCAAGATTGTCCAAAAGTTTTATTTGGACATTGTCAGAATGTGCTCGCAGGGTGGCTTTGCTCATGCGCAGCCGGGAACACCAAACAGGAAGGCTTCGTGCAGTAGAGGTGAAAGGGTTTGGGGATGTGCAGGGCCGACTTATCCATTAGGCACAGTAGGCACAGTGCCTAGGGCCCACGATACTTTTAGGGGCCCCCGAAAATGTTTTAATTTCTTTTAAAAATCAGAAGAAAAAAAATGACCTTTTAGAGTCGAAGAAAATGTTTTAATTTTTTTCCTCACATCAGAAAAAAGTGAAACTTTTAGGGCCCCCGAAAATCTATTAAATTTCACCTAAAACAGAAAAAAAAATGTTGAAGTATTTAAAGTTATCAAAAATACTTTTTAATATTGATATTTATGATGGTGGAAGGCAAAAGCACCTAGGGCCCACGAAAGTCATAATGCGGCCCTGAGGAGGTGCACTGAACCCCGGGTTCGTTAAGCAAACGAGATTCTTGAGCGCTCTGATGCTCAGTTGTGTTCCATCCCTGCTCACCGCCAGCTGAGCTAGAGGCCTTTGGCCCAGTCAGGCCTGGCTGCTCACTCAGGTCTCTCTTCCCAGGAAACAACGTTCGTGGGCCCAAACCAAAGCGCCCATCCATGGGCGAGAAGAGATCCAACCTTAAAGCCATTGATCCTCCCAACCCAAGTGGTCAAGCAAACCTGGCCAGCCAATCAGGGCACAGAGAAGGATCAAAGCCAAGCAGCACGGCCGTTTGGTACCCAAGGCAAGGCCCGTGTTTGCTCACCTCTAGACCTGGCTGTGGGGGCCCTGGCTTTGCCTCCAGCCCAGGTCTGCTCTCAGTGGTCTTTGGCTGAGCCTCACGGAGCACCTCTTCTGGCCCGTGGTAGGAGACAAAGCTTGACCCGCTGAAGGGGGAGCGCAAGGCGTTACGGACTCAGAACGCTCCCCCTCCTCCCCAACCAAGCGTGTCTCTTGCCCCAAGGGATGACGCGTCTGCAGCAAGCGGCCGGTCGGCCGCCATCGCCCCTGCCTCGGGCGCAAATGGACAATCTGGCGCTGGAGCTAAAAATGCATTCTGGTCCTGCTTTCGGCTGCTTGGTAGCTATTCATAAGAGGGCACAATGACCTTTCCCCTTCCACAACGATCGTCCTTCCCCAGGTCGACCCTGGACTTTTAGCTGCCCCGGGACGCTGCGAGGTAACAGAGCTTTTATGAGCGCGTGTTGCTGGTGTCTCAGTCACCCCCACGTCACGGGAGGCCAGCAGTGATGGGGTTTCATTTCTCGGCCCCCCGCTCATCTCAGAGATTGCCAGGCCAAAAGGGACCCTTCGCATCTGACCTCTCTTGCTGCGTGCTGGCCGGAGAACGGCCCCCAAATTATTCCGAGGGAAGATGTTCTAGAGCGGGGGTGGGGAAACTGTGGCCCCTGGCTTGTCTGGAGCTGGCCCCCAAGGTTTAGGGTCCTCCCCAGCATTGGGGAGCCCTCACTGGCACTGCAGCCCCCTCCCCCACCTTGCTGCCTCCCCCGACTGATTTTTCTGTGGGTCAGCAGCCCCCTCCTCCAAAAAGGTACCCCCCCACCCTTTGGGAGGGAATCCTCTCTTGATACAAACATGGGTCGTGATGGGGAATCCACCCATGCTCCAAGGCCTAGCGGGTCGCCCCGTTCAAAATGCAAACTGTACTGCCCGTCTGAAATTGTCTGGCTTCCGCCGCCGCATCGTGTTAGCACTTTCGCTGCCAGCCTGATGCGCCCCTGTTGGTACTCAGACTGCCACCCGGTTACCCCTAAACCGCTCTGTTCAGCTGATTGCCCGCCTGGGCCACAAAGCTGCACCGAGGTTCGGAAACGGTGTTCCGTGAACAGTTTGTTGGCAGTCACGGGAGGGCTCCGAAAACTCCTCGGCGGTCAGACTTTGCCGGCCAAAGGGTGGATGGGGTGGTCACCGGGGTGTTAAGTAGACGGGACGGAAAGAAGGTGGGTCCTTCAGGTGAGAGGGATGGAGATTCACGAGTGGATTGACGTGGCCAGACCACGTCTTCAGGGGCTGCGCCTCTGAGTTCGAGATTACACACTTGTAGCTCATCAGCAAGAATACGGGAGAGGAAGGGCACGTTTGGACAGTGCTGGCTTCATGCTTAGGCCCATTAAAACAGGGGCCTGATTTGTAAAAGGCATTCAGCAGTCACAAAAGACCCAGTGGAGTCAAGGCAGGCAACTCGTTGGTCATGATCTAGCAAAGATCATGCTTCATGTATGCAAACAGCATAGGCTCTTGAAGGAACCACATGAATGCGCGCTTTGCTGAGATGAGGCCACATCGCAAAAGGACATAGGGCATCTTTCCCACTGACTTCAGTGCGTTTTGGGTCAGACCCGTAGGCCATGTCTATGTTATGTGGACAATCGATGATGCTGTGGTTGATCTTCTGGAGTTTGATTTAGCCAGTCTAGTGAAGACCCTCTAAATCGAACTCAGAGCCTCCTCCCTCCCCCTCGGCACCGATACTCCTGTTCCTCATGAGGAGCAAGGGAAGCAGATGGGAGGCCTCACCCTGTGTGGATGGCTATTTAAGATACGTCACTACAGCGACATAATTAACATAGCTGGCGTTGGGTTGACCTTCTGCTCTTGTGTAAACAAGACCTCTGGAACTAAGTCTGGAGCCTTCCAAGGGATAGAACTGTAGATCAAGCCATTTTAGGACAAACAGAAGAAAATACCCCTCGCTCCTTTGTAGTTTACTTTTCATCGTTTTATTCTTGTATTTGTACAGCTATACTTTACAGAACGCATTAATGCAGTTTAGACACAGCCCAAACCCTGTCTCCCGAGACTGTTCATAACACAAGCATGTAAAATAAGACCGAAAATAAAAAGACCCAAAAAACAAAATATTTCCCAATAAACAGTTCTGCCAGAGGACTCTTTGCAACATCAGGCTGTACCTTAAAAAGGAAACTGGGCTCATATAGTTCATACATTGAAAACGTCCATTGAAAAGAAAGGCACCGTGCGAAACACATTTTACATATATACAGACTGAAAACAAAACAAAAAATTACACTTTATTATTATCTTAAATTCCTTCTGCAGCTTGGTTGGTTTAATACACACTTTTTTTTGTAAATTGTAAACCTTCACTTGCAAAAAAATACAAATACACTGATGCATTTAGACAAAATATTTTCTTACTTATACAGATGCAATACTTCAAAATATCTTGGTAAGTGCTCTATCACACTAAAGAGTCTCCAATCAGCATCTGCCTGCAGATGCTAACTCAAGCCTTTAATGCATTTTATATATTTTTAATATATTTTTTGTAAATTGTAAACCTTCACTTGCAAAAAAATACAAATACACTGATGCATTTAGACAAAATATTTTCTTACTTATACAGATGCAATACTTCAAAATATCTTGGTAAGTGCTCTATCACACTAAAGAGTCTCCAATCAGCATCTGCCTGCAGATGCTAACTCAAGCCTTTAATGCATTTTATATATTTTTAATATATCTTTAAGGTCTATATATATTTATTTTATATATATATATTTATATTTATATATATATATATATATTTACAACTCTGTCATAGATTCCTTCACCTTTGGTTAAAAAAGTTAAAGCCCTCTCTTCAATAGTACACACAATTCTTTTCTTCTCTTTAAAAGAGCACACATTTTGCATACAAAAAGAAAGCAAAAAAACCCAAAAAACCCAACAACGATAAACCCAACTGTTCCCGTATATTAACATTACATTCCTCATCTTCAGACTGTGAAGGTTAAACTCCAGAGTTTATCAACGCTCCACTGCACAGACGTTTCTATACATATTTAAATCTCAATAAGTTCTTTTAGTTTCACATACCTGGGAAAAATAAAAATAAAACCCGTGTATTTTTTAATATTTTTTCCCACCTATCTGCTCTATGGGCTTAGAGGCACTCCATCGTGTGATGAAAGTTTTAAAGTGTTACAAGTATCCTTTGGATATCTTCTCCCCTTCCACACGCACACGCACACGCACTCGCACACGCACACGCACCCCTCCCCTGGAGAAATCCAGCAGGCTTTCAGCACGCCTTGGGCAGCTCTGGGGGCAGCTCCGCCGTGGAGACGCGGTACTGCACCTTGGTGTTCGTGATGGCGCCGTGTTTCTGCCGGAGGTGGAGCCGCAGCTGGCTTTTGTGGCGGAAATGCAGGTTGCACTTCTCGCACTGAAACAGAAAGGATGGTGGGGGTGGGGTTAGCTCAAAACTCCACAGAGCCAGCTGTCTTCTGGCTACATACACATGACCCTCCACCTCCCGTCACTGCGCTGTCGGGGTCACGTCACAATCATTCATTAATGGGGCCTCTCAACACGGCGTGGGAGTGTATTTTACAGATGGGAAACTGAGGCACAGAGAGGTGAACTTGCCCAAAGCTGCACGAGGCGTCAGTGGCGGAGTCAGGAGCTGACCACCGGCCTCGTGTGGCCCAGGCCAGCACCTGAACCAACAGCCTACCCTTCTGCCACAATTGAAAAATATCGCTGTCACTTTACACAGCACTTGGCCTGTCCCAGAGCACCCTTTGTTGGGTGATGCGCAGGATTGTCCTAATTAATTACTGCACAGGACTCCCAGTATCCTGGACACTCCCTTTCTTCAGGGGAGAAAAACAGCATGTGAGAGGTGTAAGTGACCTGCCAGAGGCCACGCAGTAAGTCAGTAGCAAAGCTGGGGGTCCACATTCACTTTCTTTAAAGCACAGCTCCACCTCCTGTAAGAGTCCAAGTGGTTTTCCTGTCCCCCTCCATCCTAACTATTCCTACCTGCTGATACTGCCACAGAGGCTCCACAGCACAATCTCCCTTTGGGCCGGCTGGGGGCTCCCAAGACAACACATGGGAAGGGGCAACTAAATTGATTAGGGGTTTGGAACGGGTCCCATATGAGGAGAGGTTAAAGCGACTGGGACTTTTCAGTTTAGAGAAGAGGAGACTGAGGGGGGATAGGATAGAGGTCTATAAAATCATGAGTGGTGTGGAGAGGGTGGATAAAGAAAAGTTATTTAGTAGTTCCCTAAATAGAAGAACTAGAGGACACCAAATGAAATTAATGGGGAGCAGGTTTAAAACGAATAAAAGAAAGTTCTTCTTCACACAGCGTGTAGTCAACCTGTGGAACTCCTTGCCAGAGGAGGCTGTGAAGGCTAGGACTATAATAGAGTTTAAAGAGAAGCTGGATAAATTCATGGAGGTTAGGTCCATAAAAGGCTATTAGCCAGGGGATAAAATGGTGTCCCTGACCTCTGTTTGTCAGAGGCTGGGGGGGGATGGCAGGAGACAAATCGCTTGATCGCGTCTTCGGTCCACCCTCTCTGGGGTATCTGGTGCTGGCCACTGTCGGTAGACAGGATACTGGGCTAGAAGGACCTTTGGTCTGACGCAGTACGGCCGTTCTTATGATGCTTTGTGGTTTGGGGCCACTCCCGGCCCCAGTCCACGGGTGGGCAATAATTTTCGAAGGGAGACTACTCCAAAGAATTTGGTAAGTGGTCAAGGGCTGCACTTTTCTAGGCTATTATTGGAGGGGGCGCGGGGTCTGGAATGGAGTCGGGGTACAGGAGGGAGCTCCGGGGAGGAGACCGGGGTACTATTGGGGGTGCAGGATCTGGGAGGAAGCTGTGACTAAAGGCACACCGTGGCACGTGGCCGTGGTCGCCAGCCCCGAGAATGCTGAGACGTCACTTACGTGGTACGGCTTCTCTCCTGTGTGGATTCGAAGGTGACTTTTCAGCGTCTGCAGGTGCCGAAAGCGCGTGCCACAGATTTCACAGGGGTAGGGCTTTTCGCCAGTGTGGATTAGCACGTGAGCTCGGAGGTGGGCCACCTGCCGCAGAAGAGACAGCGTCACAAGAGGGTTCCCCTAGGCACGCCCGCCACCCGCTCTTTTCATTCAGACCACGTTCCTCTTATCAATCCACAGGCTTCAGGGCACCAGCTAGGCCACAGCGGGGATCAGGAAGAAATCCTCCGCCCTGGCCCTGGCCATGAGAGGAGAGACGCCGGCGCGGACGGACTGTTCGCTACAGCAGCTCTGGTATTAAAGGCCTTTTCCAAGCCCAATGGATGGCTTCACCTAATAAAACAGCTTCCCTACAAGGAGTTTGAAAAGCCACCATCTTCGTGACCAGAGGACGTGGCCAGGCGTCTGGCCCTTCTTACGCAAGCGATCATTACTCTCCCTTCAGTACAGAGTCCTAGGGGAGACGCCATGGACAACAGCGAGTGAACGTTCGCGGTAAAACCCGCCGAGCACCCGAACGGCTGGCAGCACCCGGAGAAACGGGTTTCATTGAGAAGCCAACGGCCTACTTTCATTGATCTGCCAAGGGCAAAATTCAAGGGGGTCTGTATTCAGGGGCGACAGGTGAGAGAGGACACAGGAGGACACCAGCCACGTGACCCCGCCCCCCCAGCCTCCAACCCCTCCTCCGTCCCAGGGCCCGCCTCTTCCTGCCCTTGCTCCGCCCCCCTTCCTATTCCCCACTAGGGATGTAACAGTGGAGTCGATTAACGGATCCGCACAAGTTAATGCTACAGACGACACACGTTTCTCTCCCCCCGCAACCAGGACATTTCTTTGCAGGCTGGCCTGGAGACCCGGCTCAGTTCTGACTCGTCCCAGGTCCGGGACCTACCCCCGCTGCGGCTCTGCATTTAAAGCGTATTAGGAGCCGGGCGCGCAGGCAGGGGAACTCAGACCCGCCCCCCAGACACGGGCTGCTGCCCCCCTGCGCTGCTGCTCCTTTATCAGAGACAGCCCACCGGGCAACGAGCAAGCGGCCCACAAGAGGAGCAGGTTTTTAAAACTGGCTCCCCTCACGGACCAGCTCCGCCTAGCACCCTGTGCTGCTGCCAGCCCCACCCCCAGGGGCTATAGAATAGTTGAGTAACCAATAAGAATTCATGAGATTACTCGACTAGTCAATTAACCGATATTTAACAGCCCTGTTCCCCACTCTTGCTCTGCCCCTGCATTGCCCCTTCCCCCAACCGAGAAGGCCCAGGGGACTAGCGGGGCTGAGGGGGCTGGTGGCGGGGGGGGTCCTGCTCCCCGCCCCCCCGAGCAACACAGCTGGAGGAGCAAAGCGAGCGGAGGCCACATGCCTTGGCTTCTCCTGAGTGTGTGTGTGTCTGGGGGCGGGCTTGGCCGCCTGGTGCGAGTGCCAAGCCCTGAGCTGCTCAGAGCCTCTGGCCCCGCCAGACGGCCCTTTGCCCCTCCCATGCACGGCGTGGGGTGCATGTGCTCCCTGCCCCGCCCCCCCAAATTTCCCCCGGCTTGTATTTGCTCTGCAACAGGGCGGGATCATTTTCACCAGGCCCGGAGCCGGGAACAGCGCCCCCTTCGGGGCCTTTTCCGCATCACAGGCGTGGTGCGGAGCCCAGGCTACGGGCTGCTCTTCAGGGGAGCCGCAGCGCAGGGACCCACCTGGACAAATCTGGCTCCGCAGGTCTCGCACTTGTAGGGCTTCTCTCCCGAGTGGATGCGTGTGTGGGTCTTCAGGTTGGCCGGCCGGTTGAACTGCGCGCCGCAGATAGTGCACCGATACGGCTTCTCGCCTGCCCAGAACAGAGACACGCTGGGTTAGCGCACAGTGCCCCAAAGCTCCCGCTACCGGCCCGGCATCGCTCCCCAGTCCACAGGAGAGCAGCAACCGAGGAACGCCCTGCAAGCACTGGCCCAACAAAGCCCAGGACAGATTCTCTGCCACCTTCCAACGCCTCTGCTCTGCTTTGCTCCCCCTAGCTGGGAATTCCCTTGCTGTGTACGTGATGGGAGGCGGGGGAGATTCCAAGGGGGTTCACAGTCGTCTTAGTCCAGTCCTACGTCAGTTTCACCGGAGGCCAGAGAAAACAAATCAAGGCCACAGGGCAAGTTGGTCTGCTTTGCCAGATAAGATTAACGATCCGGCCCATCCTAGTCCAGCGACAAGCCGTATCCTCCAACGCGATACTGCAGCTGGGGGGGGGCAGACGGCAAGCAGAGACCCGCCTGGCTCTGTCCGTCTCCGAATGGCTTTCGATACGTTTGGGCCAACAGCCGGTCAGGCCTTTGGCAAAGTGAGCAAGGCTGCGAGACAGAGGATGGCTCATAGCCACGGAGTCAGGGGACAGCAGCCACGGCACGCCAGATTAATCCGCCTCCATTATTCCCACCAGCCACCGACATGAAGACCATCTTCATCGGCTCTTTGCCCTTTGTGCATCCGTGGGGTGGATGCGGATGGGCTGAACGGTTCGGAGAGGGGAGGGGTGTTAATTTTTCCCAGGGTTGTGCCCTGAGAGCTCTGTCATTGTAGGGCTCTGATCCTGAAGGTGTTTAATTCTGTGTGTCTGTCTGGTCCCTTTCAGGTCAATGGGGACTATTTACACAGGTAAAGTGGGCACGTGCATTGGAATGGACAATCCAGCCCAACTGGACAGGGAGGGAAGCTGCGTCTTTAACCGAAACTTCTTTTCTCCGACACGTTAGCTGGGTGTTGGTGTTCTGAGCATTAACCGAAACAAGCCAACACTCACCCACCTCCCACCCCCTAGACCTTGATCTCTTCCCTTTCTCATCTTTCACTGGGCTGGCTCAGACCACGTCATTAGTTCATGATCACGAGGGATTTTGCCAGGTTAGATGGCGCTGGATTTTCTAAAGGAAAACCCACCAGACTTTTATGCTAGGCAGTTTGAGAACACCTTGGGGCCAAGGATCCCAAAGTACTTTGCAAGATATTCCCCCCTAGGGAGGAAAACAAATATTTCCTTGTGTAAAGCGGAAGCACAAAGGGGTTAAGCCATTTCCAAAGGTGACCCAGGAGTTTGGGCTCCCAGGGTACAACCATCCCTTATCAGGGGCTGGCGGGTGCTTTGCCCCTCCCTGCATACTCAGACCAGGTCTTCACTACAGCCGAAAGTCGGTGTAAGGTACGCAATTCCAGCTCTGTAAAAAATGTAACTGGAGACAGCGTACCGTAAGCCTGGCTTTGGCAGCATCCTCACAGTGGGAGGTGGATGGGAAAAAAAAAAGCTCCTGTCAACTTCCCTTACTTCTCCTGAGGAGGAGGAATTCCAGCACCAAAGGGGGTGCTCTCAGTGTTTGATTTAGCGGGTCTTTACTAGACCCGCTAAATCAAATGCTGCAGCATCGATCCTCTCCGCAGTCTAGACATGGACAGCGACTCAAGGGCAGGATATGGATTCTGCCTTGCATATAGGCCTAATGGAGCAGTCCCCTGATCTGCTACTCTGGAACTCATGTGCCTTTCGGGACCTGCCTCGACACGGGCCCCTGGGCTGGCACCGGGGCGCCGGGCTGTACCTGTGTGAACGGTTTTGTGGCTGGCTAGGTTCCCCTTGTAGCGGAAGGAGGCCTGGCAGCGGTCGCACTTGTAGGGCTTATCGCTGTGCACCTGCAGGGAGTGCCTCTTGAGAGAAGCCTCCTCCGAGAACCTGCAGTCGCACTCGTTGCAGAAGAAGGCTCCATTTTCTGTCGGGGCAGAGAGAGAGGCTGGGGTCAGCAATGAGGCCAGCACGTGCAGCAGCCCTCTCCTCGTGGACCAGGGCCAGGAGGGGAGGGGAGCCAACGCGTCTCACCAAGCGTCTTGCTCACGAGGGGTTGATGGAGTTGGGGGAAGCCGGCTGGGAGCATGAAATGAACAGCATGAGTCTCCTTCTCCTCACACATACACAGCAACCGCCTTTCCCCCCGGGGCTAGCTAACAAACCGACCGACCGGAGGCTGCATCTTCGTAACCAGAATCCTAGAACACTAGAACTGAAAGGACCCTCGCGAGGTCATCGAGTCCAGTCCCCTGCCCTCCCGGCAGGACCAAGCACCGTCTAGATCATCCCTGATAGATGACTATCCAACCTGCTCTTCAAGATCTCCAGTGACGGTGAGTCTACAACCTCCCTAGGCAATTTATTCCGGTGCTTAGCCACCCCGACACGTAGAAAGTTTTTCCTCATGTCCAACCTCAACCTCCCTTGCTGCAGTTTAAGCCCATTGCTCCTTGTCCTATCCTCCGAGGCCAAGGAGAACAATTTTTCTCCCTCCTCTTTTCAACAACCTTTTAGATACTTGCAAACTGCTCTCATGTCCCCCTCTCAGTCTTCTCTTTTCCAAACTAAACAAGCCCAATTCTTTCAGTCTTCCCTCCTAGCTCATGTTTTCTAGACTTTTCATCATTTTTTGTTGCTCTTCTCTGGACCCTCTCCAGTTTCTCTACATCTTTCTTGAACTGTGGAGCCCAGAACTGGCCACAATCCTCCAACTGAGGCCTAAACTGCGCAGAGCAGAGTGGAAGAACGACGTCTCGTGTCTTGTTCACAACACGTCTGTGAATGCAGCCCAGAATCACGCTGGCTTTTTTTGCAACAGTGTCACACTGCTGACTCACAGTTAGCTTGTGGTCCACTATGGCCCTTAGATCCCTTTCTGCAGGGCTCCTTCCTAGACAGTCACTTCCCATTCTGTACGTGTGAAAATAGGAAGAAGAAGACGATGGAAAGGTTGCTTAATGAGGGGGTCACTGTATGTGAATTCCGAGCCCTGCTCTGGAGGGGAATTTGGGTTTTGAGCAGCAGATAAAAATCTTCCTTTTTTTCCCCATCATGCGGGGGAGGGAGGCAAATGGATTTCTGTGCCCGAGTTTGTCAAGATTTGTAAGCCTCTTTATCCACAAACTGCTCCCGTAGGGTACCTCTGCACAGCAGGGCTAAAGTCGAATTATGCTACGCAACTCGATCGGCGTCAATTGCGTCGCTGACGTCGAAATCACTTCATTCAGCTTTTGGCGCAGTCTACACAGCAGGACGTGGAAGGAAGAACACGCCTCCTCCGGCTTCCCTCACTCCTCGTGAAATGAGGGTTACAGGAGTCGGAGTCAGAAGTCCTCCAGCTCGACATGATTTCGAAATAAGTTATTTCGGAATCACATCAGTTATTCCGAAGTAACGCTGCTGTGCAGACGTACCCTAGAGACCGTTCCTGGGTTGATAAGCGAGGCAGGTAATGTGGCCATGTCCGAGTGTGGATTATTTCATTCGGGCTCGCCCGGCTTCCTTCCCCTCCCCGCGGCAATGCTGAGCGGGAGTGGCGTTCTTCACTTCCTGTCCTAAACTGCTGGGCTGGTTGAGTGTACTTAGCATCACCCGCAGGGCCTGTGCTTCTTTAGAGGCCAAAACCCACTCCCAGGCTGGCTGTGTTCATCCGGTTCGCAGAGAGGTTGGCGAGCACATTGAGATCCACTTGGAAAAGAGGTGGCTTGAGCCGCTGCAGTTCCGATTCAGGATTTAGGAACAGCCCGTTGTACAGACCGGCCCAGCCTGCTAGCCCAGATGCAGACCCAAATGTGCCCAGAGTCCTGGGGTGCTGAGATGGGGCATTGTGGGGGCAGGGCCATCCCACAAGAGCCAGGGCGCCCCCTGTCGGCCAGCCGGAAGGCCAAGCGAGGGAGGACGGAGGCTGGACTTACCGCAGCTGGAGTCGGAGTATTCCGAGTGGGTCTCGCCCATTTCCTCTCCGAAGCCCGAGCTGGGGGTGTGAAGGCACATCTCAGAATGCTGGGGGGACTGGGGGCTGCAGGAGCTGCACTTGGAGGAATGCAGGTACAGAGGGGACTGCCCCTCGCTGCTCCGAGGGGACCCGTCCAGGGATCTGTGGGAGAAGAGCAACGTCCAATGTGACAATGCCCCGGCGCCTCCGGCAGCCCCCGGCACGAGCGATACGATTACCAAGCAGACACTTAGAGAAGCGCTGGCTGGGGTCGGGGCCCCACTGAGCATGCACCAATCACGCTCCATTCTTTTACAGTGCCCACCCCCCAAGGACGGACCGCAGCACACTTTATAAATGTACCTCTTCGGGAGGGAAACTGAGGCACCAGGCATCAGTGAAGTGTCCTCGGCCAAGGAGTGAGTCAGGGAACTTGACTCCCCATCCCTAATGTGACCATCAGCTTAACTGGGTGTGGTTACACATTTGGGAAATGTACATTACTGGCTAGATTAGGGGTGGGGGTCCTACAGCCGAGGGGCTGGATCCAGCCCCCGGCTTGCCTGGATCTGGCTCCCTGAGGTGCAGGGCTCCTCCCCCAGCACTGGGGAGC